TGCAAACACACCTGGAAAGATCTTGCTTCAGAGTCATATGGACAGTAGGGAAACTTGGCTGTTCTTGCCAGCTGTGGACTGGAAAATTTATCTGACTTCGTAAGTTTTAGTTTCTTCCTGTGGAAAATGAGAGTGGATCATTTGTGCTATCTATGGATCAGAGTTGCTGTGAAAATAAATTGAGCTGCTGTTTGTAAAATCTCCAGCAAAAATCATGGCATATAGTAAATAAATAAAACTCCCTGCCCCAGATGCTAAAGAAAGAAATAAAAACTGTATCATTTCCCTTTCCTACCACTTTCTCCAGCTAATATCAGATGGGAACTCCTTCAACATCCTGCACCCACACGAGAAACTTTCCTGCATCCACACGCAGCCTTTCCTCTTTTTCTCCATCACAATGCTGTTCTCAGGCCTATTTCTCCTACCTTCCTGGAGGCAACATATTATCAATGAAACTTTCTTTTCGTTAACTTCAACTCCTCCAGCTCAACAAGTCTTTTCTGGCCAGATCAACGTTTAATCATACCCAAGGCTATCTTACAAAAACCCCACCACACACACACACACACACACACACACACACACACACACACACACCCCAGACCATTTTCCTGACTTCTTGTTTCCCTCCAGCTGTGCTGTCTGATCTCTCTACTCCCCTTCTTGCAAGAGGCATCTGAATTCATTGTTTCAACATCTTCCCCCCTCATTCCCCACTATACTTACCACAATATGACTAGGGCTCTCATCACACCACAAAGACTGTTCTTGCCAGTGGTTGCGGAACCTTGTCGCCAAGTCTAAAGACCATCGCTTCTCAGACCGTATCTATCTTGTGACCTCTGGGTAGCGCTGGACACAGTGGCCACTTCCTACCTGAAATGTTCCCTTCCCTGGCCTTTTGGAATGCTGTGTTATCCCTCTGTCTCTGGCTCTTTCACAGGCCTCTTGGTGTATGTCTATCCTACAGGTAGGCTCAATAATTTTAGCATTATTATTATTATTATTAAACACTAGTCTTACTAAACTATTTCTGGTTACTCAAATAAACCTTTCTTAATTGTAGGCCTCCGTGCCTGTGGTTCCAGCTTTCTGCAAGTCTCTTCTTCCTCTTTCCCTTCCTTTTTCACTTAGCTTCCTTCTCCTCAGCTTCACATCTCAGCCTAGAAGCTTCTTCCTCCTATAAGACTTCCCTCTCCTCCTCAGCTCTGGCTCAGGCGCCCCACCCCGGGTACTTTCACAGCCACCTACGCTTTCCCTAGCATATCACTTATCATCTATACCATAATTACCGTAATTATGTTATCTTGGCTCAAATTGCTCTTTTACTGAAAGTTCTGTGAGCACTTAGTTGTGCCTGTGCCTTCTGCCCAGGCTCCTAGCAGAATGCCTGGGTCACATAATGGGTGAATGAATGAATGAGTGGAGATGGCCTTACTGCTGTGTTGGATTGGTAGTTAGGCTATCTTTTGGTTTTTTTTGTTTGTTTGTTTTTTGCGGTACGCGGGCCTCTCACTGCTGTGGCCTCTCCCGTTGCGGAGCACAGGCTCCGGACGCGCAGGCTCAGCGGCCATGGCTCACGGGCCTAGCCGCTCTGCGGCATGTGGGATCTTCCCGGACCGGGGCATGAACCTGTGTCCCCTGCATCGGCAGGCGGACTCTCAACCACTGCGCCACCAGGGAAGCCCTATCTTACGTTTTTAAATGCTGCATATTATTACTTGCGTGAACTCAGCCAATCCACTTCTCTAAGCATGTTTTCCTCATCTATAAAGTGGGAAGAAGTAAAGCAATGTTCCTGAGGATACTCTGCAGGTGTTATCTCCTTTAATCCACACAAAGACCCAGCAAAGCTGAGATCTGATGCAAGGCGATAATGTCTGTACCTTGGGTAGGGTAAGGCCACACAGTTTCCCTAGCAGGGCGACCCTCAGTAATAGCATCGAGGAAGGCAGAGAGGTAATTTTCTCCATTTCAGCTTGCTCACAAGCACCCATTTTTGCCTGATGGAAAGCACAACAAAATCTAACACAAACAGCAAACGAAGTTTTCAATTCAAAGAATTTAGGCTCATCTGGTTGAAAAACAACAGACTCTTCAGAGTCCCTCTTCTGAGTCACTTTACATTTGCCCCTTTAGATTAACGCATAGTGTTTTAGGGTTCCCCCAGCCCTGCACCTTTTCCTTCCCACACCCTGACCGCAGCGGGAAGGCAGCAGGGGAGGGCCTCTGGCCCGTGTCCTCCCTGTGTCATGGATCGTGTCCCTGGCTCTTGTCACCTGTGGATTGGTCATTGCTCCGAGGCCACCTTGCGGAAGCAGCCCCGCCCATGCCCCTTGGCTCTCCCGGGCACTGAGTCTCCTCAGAGGCTTCCGCAGCTGCAGGTGGTTTTCTCTCCCACCTCTGCCTGTAGCCTCTGACGGGCATGCTAGCTCTCAAACCCCTGTTCTTTTAGAGCCTGAGGAAACTTCTAGAGCTCCTCTATGAGAACTTGGAGGAGACAAGACATGGCAAAAAGAGCACCCACGAGGGATTTTATGGACAGCGATTTTATGATTTGTTTTCTGATGTATCCCAAGATTTTGAACAGTACTTTGTTCATGAGTAGTATTTTTTTTAAAAAATTGTTGAATTGAATGAATGCTTTTCAGAACATCTCTCTGCCTAATTAGTGCCACGCCACTGCTTCACACTCACTTTGATTCTTAATTTATCTTGGACTTCTGTGCCCTCCTCTCAGTGTTTTGAACCCAGTGCAGGAAGGAGGGGCAGTGGGGCACTGAGCAGACCTTTCGTATGAGTCTAAACTGTGTTACTCTCCTCCTGCCTGGCACAGGGACAATTTTATTTCCAACCTGCCTGATGGGAAACAACCTTATATCATATTCTGCTTTCTCCAGACTCCTTGTCTTACGATTAAGGTGACCGTGTGTCCTGATTTTTGCCTTTGGTGGTCATGGTTTATATCTGTTGTCCCTGTGTACTTAACAGAAGTGGCCCCCTTGACTCCCAGAAATGTCCTGGCTGGGGTGATAAATTTCATGGCCACCCCTACTTTTGTTAAACACTTTAAGCTCAGGCCTCCAAACTTAGATTTCTTTGTGATTTAACGTTTAGCTTTGGGATTTTCATCAACACCCTTTTCTCTCCCAAGTTCCTGGCTCTTACAATTAAAAGTCTTGACTTTTATAACTATGGTTCTAGTGTGGGCATTACGATGTCTATTTGGAAAGATAAACAATGACTTTTTAATTAAGAGAGATAAAAATGTTTCAGAAAAGTAAAAACAAACAGTTAAATATGTCAACCACATGGCACCATCAATCCATGGAATGATGGTGGACAGTGCCCGGGCCTAGCACCTATAGATGGACCTTCGATGCTCAGGGGAGTCCATCACCCAGAATTAAGAACTGTTAACATATTGTCCTTCTAGTAACTTTTAGAAAAGAAATAAAACATTATAGCCAGAGTCTTTTTTTAAAATTAATTAATTTTATTTATTTATTATTTTTGGCTGCGTTGGGTCTTCGTTGCCGCGCATGGGCTTCTCATTGTCGTGGCTTCTCTTGTTGCAGAGCACGGGCTCTAGGTGCGTGGGCTTCAGTAGTTGTGGCACGTGGGCTCAGTAGTTGTGGCTCGTGGGCTCTACAGCGCAGGCTGAGTAGTTATGGTGCACCAGCTTAGTTGCTCCGCGGGATGTGGGATCTTCCTGGACCAGGGCTCGAACCCATGTCCCCTGCATTGGCAGGTGGATTTTAAACTACTGCACCACCAGGGAAGCCCCCAGCCAGAGTCATTTTTAACCAATGCAGTCACTCCTTTATTTTAGGCTGTATCTGTCCTTCCTCTGAGGACAGTTGGTAGAAAGCTAGAGCTCTTATTTGATTTGAGGAGCATGCGTTAAAGGTTAAGATAATTTATCAAAACTATTTTAAAATAAAAACATCAGCTGAATACATAGGCTATCAATGAATGTTGTTTCCCTTTCCAAATCTATGTGATAACACTGCTCATCTTATTCCGATTGGAAGCTCTGTTTGGCAGTGATTAAGAAAAATGCAAGGCTATGTTAATCATTAACTCATTTAGTAGAAAAATTATAATTCATCTTAATTAAAATGTATAATTTGATAGGCAAGATCTTTTAAAATAAAGCATCCATGGAATTAATCATTAAACTATGGGGCCTCAAAAGTTTTTTAAAAGAGGCTGAGAACCCCTTCCATATAACCGAATGGTTTTACAGACTCCATTTCAGTGGGTGTTTACTTTCAGACATTTTTCTGATAATAGTGAAAGATTTGCCCTGAGGCATTCACTCCCCCCCACCCCCCATCAGTTTGTCTTGTGACAGATTGTTTTTTCAGGTTGGTTGACTTGCATTGGTGCAGGGAATGGATTACGTATATTACTTTGGCCTCATTAGAAACACAGGCTCACCAGTAGACCCAGGGGACAGCCAACTCTGCATTAGGGGACAGGCAGTCACCACCGAGGGCTGATTAGAAGCGACCAGGCCTTCCCATAGTCATTATTCCTATGGCTTCCTAAACATTTCTCCAGAATATCACTATGATCCTTGAATGAGAAGCATGGCTTGCCTTTGACGGTACCTGTGTGTTTAAGAGAATGGAGTCTTCAAGAGGATGTGGAGGAGAGCAGTGAGGGCTGGACAATCAGGGCCACTCCTTTGTTTTTTTTGTGGTACGCTGGCCTCTCACTGCTGTGGCCTCTCCCGTCGCGGAGCACAGGCTCCGGACGCGCAGGCTCAGCGGCCATGGCTCACGGGCCCAGCCGCTCCGCGGCATGTGGGATCTTCCCGGACCGGGGCACGAACCCGTGTCCCCTGCATCGGCAGGCGGACTCTCAACCACTGCGCCACCAGGGGAGCCCAGGGCCACTCTTGTGTTATGACTACCTTTCTTTCTTCTACAGTTCTTGGACTTAAGCCTCTTCCTATTTCCCTTCCTTTCCACTTCCCTCCACGTCCACAGATGGGGTGGCTGCGTTCCGCGCCTTCCTGAAGACGGAGTTCAGTGAAGAGAACCTGGAGTTCTGGTTGGCCTGTGAGGAGTTCAAGAAGACCAGGTCAACTGCAAAACTTGTCTCCAAGGCCCATAGGATCTTTGAAGAGTTTGTGGATGTGCAGGCTCCGCGGGAGGTGTGTTGGCGGTGGGGTCTTGTCAGACCTCCATCCATTGCTCTCTCTCCTTGCTGGGGTTTGAGCCAGGTTTGATGGGGACTTTCTTCTGAAATGAACCTCACTGCTCTGATGGCTCTGGATACAAAAGGGATCCCTTTTAAGGTGCAGAGCCCAAGGATTCTATAAAAAGGAGCTCTATTGGGAGTATTTTAGCTGTCTGTCAGTTAAACATGTGTCAGCAGGAACTGTGTTTCTATAGGGATTCTGCAAGATAGACGCCAGTAAGCCCATGTTAGTTTTCCTAGTGGAACGCAGCATGACTCGATGGAATGAGCATGTACTTTGGAATCTTGTTCCAATATCAGCTCCACTACTTACTCGTTGTGTGATCTTGGTCAAGTTACCTGGTCTTTCTGAATCACATTTTCCCCAATGTAAAAGGCTATAATATCACCTTTCAAGACCACTCTGAGTATTAGGAGTCAAACACCTATTCAATATTTGTCACTGCTTATTAATGAGTAATTATATCATTTATATTATTTTATGATCATTTATTATAATTACTTATAATAATAATATGAATTTCTATGTACTGCTATTCTGAGTTATAAAACAGAGTTTTACCTGGGAGAGCTTTATAGGAGACAAATATTTGTTGTCTATGAGTTTAGGCGCATTCTATACCTAAAACTCTTCAGTTATGCTTCGACTTGGGATGCAGGAGGTCTTTGGCCAGTGGTCAGAAAGCTGCAGGCTCCTTATACATGCGGTTGGAACGGAGATGTACATTCTGAACATAGCCTTTCTCCCTGGGGTATTTGTTTCCTTAGCAGCTGAGAAAGGACAAAAGAGCAAGCCTACTTTAGGGAACCCACATTCATGCTTGTCTCTGGTTTAACTCTGCCTGACATTGCAAAGACCCATGGATTAAGAGTTGAGTAATTTGGGGGTTTGCCTTGGCTGTTACTAACTTTCCAGAGTAAATTAGACCAGCTTTTTAGTATCCCTTTTCTTCAGTATCTTTATCTATAAATTGGGATGAAGACTATCTGGTCTTCAGACCTCACAGGGTTCTTCCTGGGATCAAAAGGGATGACCTTCAGGAAAGCAGTTTATTAATAATTATTAATATAACAATTGGCCCTTGAGGACCTGTGACCGTGCTCTCTGTTTGTGTCTCCAGGTAAACATAGACTTCCAGACCCGAGAAGCCACAAGGAAGAACATGCAGGAACCGTCCCTGACTTGCTTTGACCAAGCCCAGGGAAAAGTACACAGTCTCATGGAGAAAGACTCTTACCCCCGGTTCCTGAGGTCCAAAATGTACTTAGATTTGCTGTCCCAGAGCCAGAGGCGGCTCAGTTAGACCTCAGATGGGGACTCTTGGAGATCACCGGCTTTCCCCTCCCCTTGCTGCCAAGACCATATTCTAATGTGAAATGTCATAGGTGTTCAAAAGCAGTGGCCTTTAGATTGGGAGCCCGGGAGTGAGGAAGGGATGAAGGGCCATTCCAAAGTATGATCCAGCCACCAGAGCTCGGACTCTATTCCATTAACCCATGTTTGTGTTTTGGTTAGTGGTAGCACCTTGTCGCTGTCACCCTTCTCTGGGTCGGCAACTTGCCCTCCATAATGCCTTGGGTCATCTCCACTGAGAAGGCAGATATGCCATGCTGGGCTAATCTGTAAATAATGCAAATGCAATTTCCACCACTTCCACACCCTCCTCAGTTAGGACTCTCGACTCTCTTAACTTGTCCTATACTCTTATGAGGAAGAGCTAGAAGACTCTGGCTTACGTCTGTGATTTGCCATCACAATGTAATAGCCGGTCCCGCGTGCTGGGACCTCACGGTTTAGGAGAGAGGTCTCAGTGGAATCCCAGGTTTCTAGCACTGTCACTGATAGGTGGCCTCTGAGAGAAGGGGCACACTCCACGGAGTTGGCTGTTTCTTCCATTTGCATAAGACCAGTGTCACTGTCCATCTCAGCCTAGGAGATTCACAAGACTCCCAATACCCTTGCCATTCCAGAAAGGGTCTTGGGAGATGTCCTTCACCACTTCCGATGTGGAACTGCTATTGAGAAAGAGACAGCTTGCAAGTCTTCCTCAGTTCTACCAAGAAGTTTTCCCGAAGTTGAAAGAGCAGGGAATGTAGCACCAGTAGATTTTTGTGCAGTGGGCCACCATATAACCTCTCTGTTGCTTAACGTATTCTCTGCCCTCACCTCCCTGTGGTATCACACATCACTGATCTCTTAGAACGATGGATGGCTTGGTAAAGGGAGGTGAATTCCCTTAGCATGGACAGCTCTCACAGTGCCTAATACTTCTCCTGTCTCTCCCTCTTCCCCCCTTCATGCAGGTCATGTAATTCCGATGGGGGAGAATGGGAACTTAGGCTGTAATTCTCTTTCCAGCTTGCTTCCTGGGAGCATGCTTTTTTAGAAAGGTTCCTCTTGTGAGGGCCATCTTGGCTGACCAACAGCTTCCTTCTTGACTTTTTGGGATTGAACGTGGAACAGGAGGTGAGGCTAAGAAGATCACTGTGAACATCTTGTTGTAGAGAACCTTCCTAAGACGTCTTCATGGTATCCCGGTGCTGCTTTTGGAAATACATCAGGAAACTTTTCCCTGGAAGATGAGCAAGACACAGGAAACTTACTCCAGCTGCCCGGGAAAAAGCTGACTTTGGCCCAAGACTGCAGTGCCGAGGAGATGAATCCTCAGCAGAGAGACCAGAATGTGGAAGAGGAGCCTGGGGGAGGCTGGTCCCTGGGTGGACTGAATCACAGAGAACGTGCTGGAGGTACTATTGGGGTAACTCACAGCCGATGGATTTGGATTCACTGCAGATCTCCAAAACTTTCAGCTTGACTAAATGAAACAGCACATGATTAGGTGTAAGCTCTGGAATGCAGGTGATTGACAATTGGGCTGAAGCAGGCTCCTCGTGCAGCAGGGATGAGCCGTTTTAGATGTGCGGGTGTTCCAGTGCTTGCATTTCTGTCCAGTAACTTTATGAATCTCTTCCTTCCTTGGCTGCAGCTAGACAAAGCCAAGAAGGCTCTTGAGTCCCGCGGGCTGTTAGGGTCCGCTGCCCCGCCGTGTATCTGTGAGTATCTGTTAGTGAGAGCTGACATGTCTGTACGAACCATCGAGGAGAGAGAGAACACAGGCCTCCTGAAGAGACCTGTGGAATTTCACGTTCAAGAACTCTGCAGCCTCGTGTGGGTGTTCCTAGTTAGATCAGGTAGTATTCCCCCGCCCCCACTGGTGAAAAACCATCCTTAGTTTAAGCTGCTAGAATTACTTTAATGATCAAATTCCGGAACAGGGTATTTTCAATGTTGTTTACATATGAAATGTACGTCTGCTGCCAACTCTACTGTCCACTAGGAGGTGCCTATAAATGGGAACAGCACAGAGTTATGGAGACCTGAAACGTCCTAAGAGGGGCCTTTTTACCACTTCCACTGTCCCCAGGAGAAAAGTCTGAACAAGAGTGTTTTGCGGTCGCCTTCTCTGGGGCCTAGATTTCTTGCCAACTATTGGTGGAACGAAGGATGCAGATGGTGGTGTCATGGCACCTGGTGACTTCCTCCCACGATGGGGAGGTGTGAAGGACCCAGCTTGGGTATCCTGAGATTTGCCGCTATGTGAGCGTCTGTGGGCGTATGTTCGTGTGTAGAGGAACGTGATAGTTATGTCTATGGTACTCCCGTGGAGTGTGTGTGTGTGTGTGTGTGTGTGTGTGTGTGTGTATGTGTGAGACAGAAAGAGTTATGAGCACTAGACTAGTACACCACAGAGATGGTCTTCCCATGGGTGGAGCTTCTCTCACACCCTTTATGTCCTGCTTCCACCAGGAGGCACAGAGCTCTCTGCTTTGATGCTACTTTCAGGCACTTTGGTCATGCCAACCGAGATTTTGGTCTGTGACGAAACAAACAGATATGTTTACAACATCTAGAGCAATATCTAAGCATACCTCATCCCTGACCTTCCACATCGCCCTGCCCCGCCCTCTCCCTCAGCCTCTCCACAAGCCGTACTCCGCCTCGTTTGGTGGGCACCCACAGTGGCCGCTTCTCCACGTCTTCCTGGGTTCCTCACGCTGGGCTTGTGCTCTGGACTGCCTTCAGGGCACAAGGCTTGCTCTGTGCTTGGGACCTTTAAAGGCTCAAGGCAAGCAATGCAGTAGGCCGGGCAGAGCTGTGACTTTTAGGATTGCTCTCCATCCCTGAGTGGCCTTCCAGCCCCACATGAGTATTAACCCGTTTGGGGGCTGGTGTGAGATTTCCTGTTGCCCCTGGCAAGCCAAATAGAACACAATCAGTAACGACCCTTCATAGCCCTGGGCACTTCTGGGGTGAGGAATGTTCCCTGAGCAACGTTTATTATGAAAGTTGAGGATGTGCAGGGATCACCCAGAAAGCCTGTTATAAGTGCTAATTCCCAGGTTCCACACCCAGAGATGCTGATCTAATAGATCTGGGGTGGGATGCAGAAGTCTGCATTTTTAATAAGCTCCCAGGTGTGTAGTGGCCCGTGGACCAGACTTTGAAAAAGGATGGTCTAAGACAGTGGTCTAAGACAGAGGCTCTCACCCTTGGTTGTTCAATGGAATCACCTGGGGAGTTGAAGAAACCCGAATGTCTGGGTCCCGCCCCAGAACATCTTGGGGTTGGAGCTCAAGGCATCAGTTTTTTAACTACGCCACAGGTGGGTCCAATGTATAGATGAGGTTGGAATGCTGGGCCTGAGGAGTGAGGAACACAGCTAAGGGTAAAACCCAGCTGTGTGAGCTGAGAGGGCTGGAGCACACCCAGACACAAACAAGCACAATAACCAGGAACCTGCCAGCCCTGAATTTGACTCTTAGGGTGGTTGCCTCTATGCCCTCTCTGACTTTTGAGATGAAAATGTTTCTGCCCCAGCTGAATGCGTTGTCAGGCAGTGGGTCCGCCAACAGTGGGGGCTGAAGGGGTCCTTGGGGCTTTCCTCGCCTGCCGGGTCTTGTTCACAGGGCTTCCTCCAATCTCTCCTCCTAGGCTGCTTCGCTGTTTGTTTCCATGTGCTCTCGTGCTTGGTCATTTCGTGTTAGGCCGTGCCTCTGTACCCAAGGCCACGTGACATGGTAGCTGGACTCAGGTAGTGGGTGAGGGGTGTGTAGTAGTAATAATAGCGGTAGCACAACAACTTCAAATTTCTCAAGGGAGGGTGTTTTACCCTCAGAATAGCAAGCTCTTTGAGGCTTTCTTCTCCAGGGCCACCACGGGGTTTTGGTTGCTGCCCTAAGCCCTCACCATTCCCTTTGGTCTTAGGCTGGATGGGCAGCTAGAAGGTTCTAGTTGATTTTACGCTCTGGTGCTCTCCGCAGAACTGGCTGCTCTGGATTAACCAAAGCTGTGAAATAGCTCTCTGCTCAGGCTGCAGGCCCAGCCTCTGGGTGCAGGCCCTGGGCGCCTGTCCTCAGCAGGGCCGGGTGTCCGGGTGCTCCAGGCCCTGGGCTGTGAGGGAAAGGCATGAACTCACTGTGCGGAGAGCCGGGCTGGGAATGGGGAAGACTGAAGAGGAAGGAGCAGGGGGGAAAGACATGCAGCTCCCGTGGCATCTGCTTCTCCATAAACCAGAAGGGAGAGGTGATGAGTGGTGAGTTCAGAGGCAGGATCGTCTCCCATCAACAAGAGCACCCAGAGCTCTCCTGACCCTGTCAGTGCCCACTTCCAAGCAAGGCAGACGAATTACAATTTTCCATCCGAGGCTGTCCTTCAGTCTGCCACGTGTCAGCCCTCTTCAAATCGGCATCCTCCGTTTTAGAAGCAAAGGAGGTGGCAAAGTCACCCCTGGCGTGGGGAGCCTGTGCCACTTGGCATGAGACTGTGAAGGAAGAAGCCAAGAGCAGAGATGTCTTCCTGTCCCTGTGACCTCTTGGGATTCACAAGATGCTGTGGACCAAGATGAGAGATGGCAGGATGGGGCCACTGGCCTTCCCTGGTGTGGGGTCCTGGTCTTCTCAATAAACCGTTCTCTTCTTGATTCTTCCTCCCTTCTGCCCCTCTGCTCCCTCCCCTCTGCCAGGTACAGAGAAGGCGGCTGGGCTGATGTGCCCTCCAGGCGTGGTAGCACTCACCGAGTCACACGTGGCGGCACAGATCTGTAGCAGCTCATCTGCTGTAGAAACGCTTGGCTGATGGAGTCCTCATTGAGTTGTTTCATTACCATGCAAAGTGGAATAATGTCACTCACCTCTACTATAAACAAGGCTGTGAGGACATAATAAACAGAACCTGAACATGCTGCCCTTTGCTCTCTGCCCACATTTCTGGCCGGCTGACTCTTTATGAGGAAACACTTCTCATAACACGTGGACTCCCCGGGAGGGGGCACGCGGCCTCTCCCTTGCAGAGAATGGCACGGGGCTGGCCATCAGGAAAAGCAGCAGTGTGGGTGGAAACGGGATGGGAATGACTTGGGATGAGTTTGGGGGTGGAGGGTGACTTTGGGATGTGAGAGTGGCTTTGAAACTGTAAAGTGCTATACGAACACGAGGTGGTATTTTTATTGGTGCCCCCTACTGCGTGAAAACGCAGGGAGAGAAAAGGCTGAGGGATGGTTTATATATTTGTTCAGCTGGAGCAATCTGAAGATGGAGTGGGTTGACCTTGCTTATGCCCCTACCTCCCTTTGTACAATCAGCGTGCCCCTGAAAGGACTGCGTGAGTCATCGAATCTTCGAGAGTCTCTGGTGATGGGCCCCATGGAGGGGACCGCAGGAGAACGAGCTGGAGGGCCTGCTCACAAAAGCTCAGTTTTCAGTTGTGGTGATGAGACAGAGATATACAAAATATCATTCATCCAAAACAATTAAAATGTACCAGAGAAGGTCTCTCTTTAAAGGAAAGCTGATGTTTCTTCAAAGGTGAATGCTTTGGGTTAAATGAAGAAGGCTTTGCCATGCAAATGAACCCCCCTCCCCAATCCCGGTTTT